CAAGCTCCAGTCCCAGATGGCTCACAGAGCCTCAAACTAAAGAAGACCTTGGCTCTCACCCTGTCACTTACAGAGAGTTCAGGAAGGCTGAAGGGCCCCACAGTCTCAGTGAGTACTTCCCCTTGGTCCCTGCAGAATAACGGGACTGCCGTGGTCCCTCCTACCTGCTCCTGCCCTCCACCTGTGTTTACTGATCCTGGTTCCTCCAGCTCCGTGAAAACAGCTGAACTTCATTTCCCTGCCTCCCTTGCGTTTGACTATGGGAATGAGTTCAAGCCAATGGGGCGTGGGCAGGAGTGATGCCTCTCAAAGTGGGGGCCCAGACCAGCAGCATCAGCATCACTGAGGCGCTTGTTAGAAATGCAGATTCTCAGCCTCCACCCCAGACCTCCTTCATCAGAACCTGTATTTAACATGATCTCCAGGTTTGCAGCATGCACATGTAGGTCTCTGCCAGGGCTCTCTCTCCTCCCTTCCCCAGCTAGATGTGGGAGATGCCCAGGGCCCGGGGAGGGTGGAAGGAGCTGGATTCCTGAGTGACCTGGTGGAAGGTGCCCACCAACCCGAAGTGTGGGGATGCATGCGAAATAAACGTGTGTTGCGTAGCTGCTGAGATTGGAGTTTTGCTTGTTACACCAACCGGCACAACTTAGCTCCACCAGCGCACCTCCTGCTCCACCTAGTTGTTGTCTTCCCTTTGCTTTCCTAGGGCATCCTAGCAGAGTCCCACAGACTGGGGGCTGGAATTCCAAGACCAAGCCATCAGCAGGGAGGGTTCCTTCTGAGAGCTGTCAGTGTGGATTTGTTCGATGTCTCTCCACTAGTTTCTAGAGGTTGGTCATCACGGGTGTTCCTTGGCTTGTAGAAGCATCACCTTGATGTCTGGCTCCATCTTCATATGGTGTTCACCCTGTGTGTGTGGGTCTGTGTCCAAATTTCCCTTTTTTATAAGGACACCAATCATATTGGCTTAGGCGCCCATCCTAGGTCAGTATGACCTCATCTTAACTAATTGCATCTGCAATGACTTATTTCCCAATAGGATCACACTCTGGTACTGGGGGGGGGGTAGGACTCCCACACACATGAACAGGGAGTGCACAGGTCAACTCATGACATCTCATCTCTTGTCCCTTTTCCGTCCTTGCTGCCACCTCCCTAGTCTGGGCCACTACCATCTCTTCCTTGGGCAAATCACACTCCAAACTGAGGTCCAGCTCCACACTCTCACCCTCTACAACCCCTCTGGCAGCCAGAGTCTTTGAGGGGAGGCATTTATTACAAACACCTTCTGGCTCTTGGCATCCGCTCATTTTTCTTTTTTCAGTGGTAAACAACACCTAACATTAAGTTTATCATCTTAGCCATTTTTAAGTGAACATTTCAATAGTGTTAAGTATATTCACATCATTGTGCAATGCTGAAGGTCTAGCCCATCAAACACTAATTCCCCTCCCCTCTCCCAGCCCCCCAGAACCACCTTTCTACTTCCCCTTTCTGTGATTTTTTTGTTTTTACTACTTTAGGTATTTCACATAAGTAGAATCACACAATATTTGTCCTTTTGTGACTGACTTGTTTCACTTCACATAATGTCCCCCGGGGTCATCCATGTCACGGCATATGACAGATTTCCCTCTTTTTAAAGGCTGCAGGCTAGTCCATGGTATGGCTAGCCCACATTTTCTTCATCCATTCATCGGTCGATGGACATTTGGGTCACTTCCACCATCCAGAGTCCAACAGATGTGGGACAGGGGCCTGAGCAGCACCCTGACTGGGCCCCCACCCGTCCCCTCTTCACTTAATCACATCTTTAACAAATATTTTTGAGTACTTGCTAGGTGCTAGGCAAATACTCCTCCTTTCTCTCAAGCATTGGGGGTGAGAGGCCAGAGCCCAAGGTCTCATTTCCAAAGCTCAGGGGCCCTTCTAGTGCCCTCCGAGCCCTTGGGGGGACAGTGGGGTGGGCAGCCAAAAGGGTCTGGGCTCTGCAGGGCTGTGGTGAGGATACGGCCCAAGGCCAGGGGCTGCCCTGTCCTTGGCTGGTCTCCAGAGGACGCCCCGCCCCAGTACCTCTGGCTTTCGGTCCTTGAACCAGGCAGTCGTAAGTAATGTGGAAACCAGAGAGAGAACACCTGGGCCACGTGTTGCATGATGGGACTGCGCTGTAGAAAAGCCCCTCGCTATCTGGCTATCTGGCTATCATAGGGATGGACTGCTGCTGTGGTCATGTAGGCAAGTGGCTCAGGCTCGGGATGGGGATGTTTATTAATGTAAGGACCAACTAAAGTGTCCTCTTTACTATAGGAGTGCCTTAGCTGGTGCTGTGGAGTGAATGTTTGTGTCCCTCTGAAATTCTCATGTTGAAACCCTAATCAACTGTGATGATCTTAGAAAGTGGAGCTTTTGGGAGGTGTTTAGGTCAGAATGGAGCTTCATGATGGACTAATGCCCTTAGGAGCGGAGGTCAGGGAGTTAGCCAGTCAGCCCTCACCCCATAAGAGGACCCAGCAAGAAGGCAGCCATTATGCCTCAGGAAGGAGGTTCTCGTTATAACTCACTCGTGCCTGCACTCTGATCTCAGGCTTCCAGCCTCCAGGACTCTGAGGAAACAAGTGGGTTGTTTAATTGCGCCCCACCCCCCATCTATGGTATTTGTTATGACAGCCTGAGTGGACTAAGACCCCTGAATTCCCCAAAACCTCCCAGCGCCAGAGAAAGGAACCGCAGAGCGAGTGAGGCTAATGGGTCTGGGGTTTCCTTTCGGGGTGACGAATATTCTGGAATTAGATGACGGGGATGGACGCACCACTCGTGAATATACTAAGGGCCACTGAGTCACACTTTGAATGGGTGAACCGTATGGCGTGTGGGTGACAGGCAGGGTGGCGCCAGTGGGCAGTCACAGTTAACGGGGACAGGGAAGACAGCGTCAAGCACAGCTCTGGGTTTCTCCTTGTGTGGTGGAACCATCGTGAGGCGGACAACAGGTGGATGCCCCCTGTTGTTGCCTGTGCCCCCTGCCCACAGGTTAGTCAGGGCCAAGGCCGCGAGGCTCATGCTGCAGACTGACAAACTGGGAACCCTCCAAGCAGCTGGGCAGAGAGGGGCTGAGGTCCAGTCCCCACAACACCAACCACGAAGCTCCTAGGCCAGGTGGGGGCAGAACAGCCCTCCAGGGAGGCCGAGGACTGAGAGGAGCCATCCTTGGGAGGCGTTGGCAGGGGCTGGTCAGAGCCTGAGCGCGAGCGAGCTCTGAGAAGCCTCTGCTGACTTCGGGCCCGAGGAGGTCCTTGGTGCCACCTTCCTGCAGGAAGGATGTGGGGACCGGAGGTTAGGCGGGGACCAAGGGGGAGCGGAGCCATGAGAAGCATTTTGATGACGCTCACCTTACCACCCTGGGGACAGGGCCTGGGGGCCGGGGCTCCCATAGCTGGGCCACTGCTCCCCATTTTTAAAAATTGAGCTCCCTGTTGATACTTTTGTTATCCCTAGTGAGCTTTTTTTAAGAATTTCATAATTGAAACATAATTTCATAATTGTCGCTCACTGTCACTAACTACCTGCTCCGTGTGGTGCAGACATCATAAAATCGGGTTTATTGGGGGACACTAGCAGCAGAGCGGGAGCAGGGAAGGAGGAGGGCACTGCCCTGCTGATCCATCTTCAGCCACGGAGGGGCCAGCTTCCGAGGGCCTGCCCCTGGGCACTTTGCTCCGTGACAGGACAGGGCAGGGGATGTCTCTGTGGCTAGGCAACGGTGGAGGAAGTGGCTGTATGGGAGGAAGCTTCTGGAGCCGGAGCAGCCAGGGGGCCACCCAAGCTGACGATGGTGTCAAAATTCCTGTCCATGTGAGCATCCTCGGTCCAAGCAACACAGGCCATCCATCTGTCCTCTGAAGTCAAAGCAGGAGCAGAGAAGAGGAAGAGCACGCAGGCCTTCGTCAGCATGAATGTCCAGGATGAGAAGCCTGTATCCCTCTGTGATTCTCCTTGTGCTGCATCCTGGAACCTGGCCAAGCTGAGGGGCACGGGACGTGCGGCGGAGGAAGTCACTGTCCCTGCACAGAGCCGGCTGGGGAGGCTGCAGAGCCAGCAGATCCTGCAGGCCGTGCAGGGGTAACAGCCCTCAGGACTCAGCGTTTCTCGCTGGAGCACCTCATGCCGTGTGGGGCGCCCCTTCCACAGTGGGGCTGAGCAGAGACTCAGCGGGTAGAGGCACGGACCTTCCTCCAGGTGTGGCCACCTCTCGTGGGCATGCATATTTGAGACACGAAGATGGGCCCGGGATTGGGGTCTCCTATCTCTTCCCACAGGGCTGCGTCTTTGGCCTTGGCCGTGGGCAGTCACTGTCTCAGGGCGGTAGGCTTCATGGCCACGAGCACTGCTCAAAACATAGCCCCTGCGTAGAGCGTCCATGTTGAGGGCCGTCAGCACAGGGGTCCTCCTGCAGATAGCTGCCTCCCACCTGGGAGGTGGGCTGCCGGTTCGCGGCCCGTCTTCTTGACTGCTGGCCAGGCTGCTAGGGTAGGGCCCCACGGGGCCGGTAACCGGGTCAGCCGATGGGCCACAGACTCGCCTGGGAGGGAAGCCACGGTCTGAATTGGGGGTCGGGGTTGCCCTGTCCTTGGGGGCGCCACTTTCATTTTAAGCTCGTCCCAGTTCATGAGAAAGACGGGGCTCGGGACGAGGGGCTGCCGGGGAGAACCAAGGTCTCTCTTCCAGGGCAATGAGGGCAATGGCCAGCAGGGGCCGCAGCGCCCCCTGCAGGCCGGGGGCAGAGCCCTCAGCAGCTGCTCCAGAGGGCACCCCCCTGCTCTTGGTCCAGCCGGCATCCGGGCAGGTGAGCTGCCTGCTCCGTGGGGGTCTCTTCTGGGGATGCCCAGCCAAGCTCCATCACTCCCGACCTCGTGGCACGGAGACACAGTGCGTGTGGCTCCGTGGTGGCCGACTGCTGTTGCACAAGGGATGTGGGCGCACATACCAGTTCTACACGGTGAGATATAAAACGGGGTTTATTGGTGGGAAATCTATCAGCAGAGGGACAGTGGGGTCCCAAGCTGTCGCTCTCCCACAGCCAGACAGCAGGCTCCGCGGCCAGCTTGGCAGGAGAGGGGCCCTGGGCTTGGGGCTCCCTCTGCGACTACAGCACGGGTCACAGCGCGCGCAAGAAAGCTGGCCGCGAGGTGTGGCCCCGTTAGTGCCCCGTTAGCAAGCAGCTGCCTCGGGAGCTCCTGGCCCACGTCAGCCTGCTTCTCCGCGGGCCTGCTAGGCCAGCCCGCTGCCGCGCTCCCAGCCGGGAGAACGGGGTGGGCCTCCGCCGCCACCGGGCCTGCCTCTCGTGCTTCAGCCAGACATGGCGGCCCGCTGGTGTCTGCCCCGGCTTCCCCGTGGGCATCTGGGCTGGCTCCCGCTGCCAGGAACGACACCTGCTGTGCCCACCGCGGCCCTGGTTTAAGTCGGAAGCCTGCAAAGGGGAGAGACTCCGACAGGGGGTGTAGTGAGGCCTCTGCTTTGGCTTGCTCTGCCGCCACGAGGGCCGGCTGCAGCGCAGCAGCAGGTGGCCCAGGAGCGCGAAGGTCCACTTGGCACCGGCCCGGAAAACCCGTGGGGGGGGGAAGGCGCTCCGCGGGGGCAGCTCAGCGGGAAGCAGCGGCACCTTCTCCGAGTACGCCCACACCACACTGGACCGTCCTTGGCAAAGTCACGCTCTGAAAATGGATGGGTGCTTGCAGCTGGGAGCAGCAGCGCAGGGAAGAGGCCTCTTTGTGGAAAGACGCTTCTTCAGCTCTTTCGTGGGCCGGACCTTTTGCCCCAGGTCACGCACACCTGCAAGCCGCCAGCTCCTGGCACTCTTGTTTGCCTGCTCGGAGACACCACCAAAGCAGGGCTCCTGGGAGACCCTCGAGGAAACGTGAAGGCCACCAGCACTGCAGAAGGGCGGAAGAGAGTTTGTGTGAAGCAAGGTCTAACCGGGTGGGAAAGGCCAGGGGCCCGGGTGCACTCGGCGCACCCTTGATGCTGGCAACACACGAGGTCCGTCTGCTCGAGTTGGGAGGAGATTGGCCTCAAGGGGACTCGCTGTCCCGTTTTGTACCTTCCACCTTCCTGATTACAAAGAAACACATATTCATTATACAAATCCAAACACGGCAGAAGTAGGCAACACAGAGGGTTTCCTTTTCCCTAGAGATGACAGTCAGCTAGGTCGTTTTTATACACGTTCGCATACGCACATTGCACCATTTCCTTTAAAAGGGGAAGTTGCCCCATAACACGCACTCTGGGGGTGCCTGGCTTTCTACACTAGCGTGTCCTGGGAGGAGACCCACACTCCTGAGAGGTCCCGCCTCCCGCTCCGGAAGATTCTTTGTCGAGAAAGGAAAAGTTCTCTTGGATTACTGTGATGGGTTTGGGAAATGTCCACAATTCTTTGCTCTCCCACAGGGGATGTGGGACGGGGCAGAGGGAAGGAGCCTGATTCCCCTCCCCTTGCGCCGGGGCTGCATGTGCTAACGGGCTTCCAAGGAACAGAGTAAAGCAGGAGTGGCAGGGTGAGAGACTGTTCAGAGAGTCACTGTCGCTACCTTCCTGGTTTTTTTAGACAGCTTTACTGAGCTGTCCTTCCTACGCCACCCGGCTCGCCACGTCAGGGTGGGACTCCACGGGGTCGGTATATCCATACCCATGAGCCCATCCCCACAACCACGTGGAGGACGTTTCCACTCTCCCCGAAAGTCCTCTCCCTCCTTTTCTACTTTGGGGGAGAGATTGTGAAGGGCTGGTGCTAATTCTTGGCTGAGTGTTTGGTAGAGGGCACCAGGGACGCCATCCAGGCCCCAGGGGCCTTTTTTGGTGGGAAGTTTTAAAATGACTAATTCAGTCTCTGTACCTATTACAGGTCTATTCAGATTTTATTTCTTCTTGATTCGGCCTTGGTAGCTTGCCTTTCTAGGAAAGTTTTCACTTCATCTTGGGCACCCGGTCTCCTGGCACGCTGCGGCTCATAGCGTCCTTTAAGACCCTTCTGTGCGTGTGTGGTTTTTCCTGTGGGGTAGGCAGTAATGCCCCATTTTTCATTCTTGATTTTAATAATTTGAGTCTTCCCTCTCTTTATTTAAAGATTTTATTTGGGGGGGGGCGCCTGGGTGGCTCAGTCGGTTAAGCATCTGCCTTCGGCTCAGGTCATGATCCAGGGTCTTGGGATCGAGCCCCACATCTTTTTTAAAGATTTTATTTATTTATTTGACAGAGAGAGCGAGAGAGAAAGAGAGCGAGAGAGAGAGAGCACAAGCAGGGGGAGCAGCAGAGGGAGAGGGAGAAGCAGGCTCCCCGCGGAGCAGGGAGCCCGATGCAGGGCGAGCCCAGGACCCTGGGTGAAGGCAGACGCTTAACTGACTGAGCCACCCAGGCACCCCTGAATAAATAAAATCTTTAAAAAAATAAATAACGGTATATTTTTTTAAGTAATCTCTACACCCAACGTGGGGCTCAAACTCACAACCTCGAGATCAAGAGTCACATGCTCCTCTGACTGAGCAGTACGGGCACCCCTGAGTCTTCCCTATCTTTACCAATGGATTTTGAAAAAAATAAAATTAATTTAATAAAGAAATAAAAACCAATTTTGGGGGCGATGTAGTTAAAGGTTTGTCAATTTTGTTGATTCTTTCAAAGAAGCAACTTTCGGTCTCGTTCATTTTCTCTTCTCTATTTCATTCGTTTCTGTTCTTTCTCATCGTCCTCCTGCTTTAGGATTGCTCCATTAATCTTTTCATAGTGTCCTGACATGGAAGTGTAAGTTGCGGATCTGAGATCTTTCTTCTCCTTTAATGTAAGTCTTTCCAGCTACAAGTTTCCCTTCAAGCACTACTCTACCGCCGCCCGCGTGTCTTCGTGTGCCATGTCTCCATTTCGCTCACTTCAGACCATTTTCCACTTGCCTCGGGATATCTTCAAGTCACTCAGGAGTGTGTTGACTGTCAGATACTTAAAAGTTCCCCAACTTTCTTTGTGTTGCTGATTTCTGGCTTCATTCCGCTGTGAACAGATAACGTACTTCGTGTGATTTCAGTCCTTGTTGTTGGACGAGTCTTGTCTCGGGGCCCACGTTCCGTCTATCCCGGCGAGCGCCCCACGTGCGCTTGGGGAGAATACCAACTGATCTTGCTGGTGGCCTCCCCCTCGCTCTGCCCTCCCCCTCGGGCCCCTCGTCTGGGGGGGCGAGAGCCGTCATGTTGGAGGAGCGGTCCACACAGCGAGGAGCTGAGGCCCGCAGCCCATGGCCGTGCGAGCAAGCGAGGCACCGTGGACGGGGCTCCTCAGCCCACGCAGGCCTTCAGGTGACCGCAGCCCTGGCCCCTGTCCTTCTCCAACCTCAGGAGAGACCCTGAGCCAGAACCAGCAGCCCAACCACTCCTGACATCTTGCCCACAGACACCGTGAGAGATAGTAAGTGTTTGCCGCCATAAGCCACTACGTGTTGGGGTGACGTGTGTGCGAGACAACTCACAATTACCCACACATCTGCTGGCTTTCCGGAGAGCCAGGCTGGATGCACACCTGCACTTCCGGCGGAAGTTTCATCTTCTCTGAGGAAAGAAAATTGAAAACATGGATTAATCATTCTTTTCTTGTTTAAGATTCTCTTTTTTATTATTTTTTTAAGTAGGCTCCATGCTCAGGGTGGAGCCCAACATGGGGCCTGAACTCACAACCCTGAGATCAAGACCTGAGCTGAGATCAAGAGTCAGACACTTTACCAAGACTGAGCCACTCAGGTGCCCCCATTTTCTTTTATCTTTTTAAGTAATCTCTACACCCAACGTGGGGCTCGAACTCACAACCCCGAGATCAAGAGTCACACGCTCCTCTGACTGAGCAGGGCGGGCGCCCCATTAATTCTTGTTGAAGCTGCTAGAGCCAAAGGTACACACTTTGTAACAATGACCTTAAGGCCTTGAGGAAAAGAAAACCGGGTAGAATGACTCTGATTTGGGCAGTCATTGGGAATTCTGGTTTTCGAATGCCCCCAACTACCTGTGCCTGGTGAAAGAAGCTATTTGGGACCCCGAGAGTCATCGTTCAACCCATCCTTCAGCAGAGCAGGACTGAATGAGACACCAAACTGAGGTGCCCTCAACTGTGCCACAGGCGTACCACAACTCCTATTGCTTTTTTTTTTTTTTTAAGATTATTTACTGGGGAGCCTGGGTGGCTCAGTCAGTTAAGCAGCTGCTGCCTTCAGCTCAAGTCATGATCCTGGAGTTGGGGGATCAAGCGCCATGTCAGGTTCCCTGCTCAGTGGGGGTCTGCTTCTCCCTCTGCCCACCCTCCCACCCCCCCTCGCTCACTCTCTCTCAAATAATCTTTTAAAGATATTAAAAAATCTTTTTTAAAAAAGATTATTTATTTATTTGACAGAGAGAGAGAGAGCACGAGCCGGGGGAGCAGCAGAGGGAGAGGGAGAAGCAGGCTTCCCGCCGAGCAGGGAGCCCGATGTGGGACTCGATCCCAGGACCCTGAGATCACGACCTGAGCTGAAGGCAGACGCTTCACGACTGAGCCACCCAGGTGCCCCCCATGACTTCCGTTTCTTTTCTTTTTTTTTTTTTTTTAAAGATTTTATTTATTTATTTGAGAGAGAGAGAGAATGAAAGAGAGAGAAAGCACACGAGATGGGGGGAGGGTCAGAGGGAGAAACTGACTCCCCGCTGAGCAGGGAGCCCGACGCAGGACTCGATCCAGGGACCCCAGGATCATGACCTGAGCCGAAGGCAGTCGCCCAACCAACTGAGCCACCCAGGCGCCCGACTTCTGTTTCTTATTGATGCCAAACAGTGGCTTTTTCCCAGAAGCCTCCATTTTTTTCGAGCAGAAATAGTATTTCTTTTGGTTTATACAACTTGGATTCATTTTCATATTTTATAAGATATGGACCTTATTATTCACATGAATTAATATGAAACACAAAAATGCTTCCTAACAACTAGTTTTCTATTCTGTTTATGTGAAGGGAATCCATTTTCAGTTCAATAAAATTAATTCTTGGCAAAATCTCACAAGTGTAAGGTGATGTGCACGTATGCATATGCATGTGTATATGCATGTATGCACGTGCATGTGTGCATTGTGCATGTGTGTGCATGCTGGTGCATGTATGAGTGTGTGCATTGTGCAAGTGTGTGCACGTGTGTGCCTTGGGCAAGTGTGTGCACGTGCATGTATGCGTGTGCACTGTGCATGTGTGTGCACGTGCATGAGTGTGTGCATTGTGCACATGTGTGCGTGCTGATGCATGTATGAGTGTGTGCATTGTGCACGTGTGCGTGTGTGTGCGTACACACAAACATTTGCATGCTCTTCTGGAGCAGTCTCTGTTTTTTCATCTGATTTTCAAGAGACTGATCTGTAACCAGTTAAGACCTCCTAGGATAAAGGAAAGGAGAGGAAATGAACTAGAAGGGGAGTCATTTTGAGAATGGGATGATCTAGGGGTGTTTTCAGGTTCCGGAGAAGGTGCCAGTAGCCAGGATTGGTAGAAGACTCTGGAAAGGCCAGGGCACAAAGCTCCTCAGATGGTGCCTGTCCCTGAGGTGTCTGAAAGTTAGGCTGGGAGAGTCAGTCGAGAGGCCCACAGCTGTTTTGTACTCCCACCTCTGACCCCCATCCCCATCTGCACCTGGGTCCTCCTGCTGGGCCACGCTGGGGAGCCTCTCCCGCTGCCTCAGGGCCTCCAGGCCTGCCAGGTCGGGCGGGTGGCAGTGGCTACGCATCACCGTCACCAGCTGGCCCTGTGTGATGGCCCGGCTGCGGCAGCCCAGCCGGGCCTGGTCCCGGCACATCCAGTACACCTTCTCCCCAGCTGCCTTCTCCTTCCTGTAGAGGAAGGACTCGTACACCAGGAACCTGCCCCCGAGGGACGTCCTCAGGAACTCCAGAGGCCGGAGGGTTCCTGGAAGGAATGTGGCAGTGTGAATGGGGCAGCTTGGAAGCAGGGTGCAGAACCTGGGCGCCAGGGACAGAGGCTGTTTCCTTTGTGCCGGCAGCCTGCCCCAGGAAACTGCAATCCCACAGAACCCACTCTGCTCTCTGCCTCCACGGCAGCCCGTGCTGTGGGGCCCCGAGCCCTGCAGCTCGGATTGCCACCCAGGGCCCACGGCCCGGCACCCTCGAGGACAGACTGGCTGTCTCCTTCTCAGGGCTCTGGTGCTGCCCCGGAGGCTGGCCCTGCTTTCCTGCAGGCCTCCCCTGACCCGGCTTGGATTCCACACTTGCTGGCGAGCACCCCGGTCAAAGGCTGGGCTGGAACATTCAGCAGGGCCCCCGGCTGGTTGGGGCCATGCACCAGGAGCCTCCTGGCTCGGTGTCCACCGTCTCCTCAGCCAGCTGACAACCAATCAAATCTCTCTTGAGGCTTTTAAGACCCTGATTTGAAAGGTCATGTAATGTTGGGGTTCGGGTGGCTAAAGAGAACTGGGAGGTGGGAGGGGGAGGGAGGAAAACAAACACGAGAACCTAGAGAGGGGAGACAGAGGGTCCCTGAGGTCCAGGCTCATTGCCCCGTAAACGGGTGCTGAGCACTTCCTGTAGCGGACCATGCCACCCCACCCCCTTCCCTGCAGCTGTCTGAGCGGGTTTCTCTCTGCTGCCAGCCAATCCCAGACTAACACTGGCCACGGGTGTGGAGCCCACATGCAGCCCTGCCTTTAGGGAGCTCACGCTGTGGGCAGACAGCCTACCACACGTGGGTGGCTAGACCCCACCAGGCACGGGGCCGCGGGCAGAAGGTCCCAGCAGGGAGACCAGGGCCGAGCACCCGCCCCGCTCCACATCCTCTCACCCGCACCTGAGCCTTCCCTCTGGGCCGGGCTGGGGAGCTGCTCCCGCTGCCTCAGGGCCTCCAGGCCCCCCAGGTCGGGCGGGTGGCAGTGCCTGCGCATCACCATCACCCGCTGGCCCTGCGTGATGGCCCGGCTGCGGCAGCCCATGCGGGCCTGGTCCCGGCACGTCCAGTACACCTTCTCCCCGGCCGCCTTCTCCCTCCTGTAGAGGAAGGACTCGTACACCAGGAAGCTGCCCCCCAGAGGGGTCCTCAGGAACTCAGGGCCTCCTGGGGAGAAACGGGAGAGGTGGGTGGGGGAGGGAGAGCTGGGAGCCAGGTCCTGGGGTTCAGCAGTAAGGTGAGGGGGGCCCCTGTCCTCAAAGCAAGAACAGCATAGCTCCTGGAGGGAGCAGGCCCAGGAGGACCCCCCCCCCCC